AAAACTTTGAAAAAAAAAAAAAAAGAAGAAAAGCAGTGCCATGGTGAAGGACAGGAAGGTGCTAAAGAGATTGGAGATTTAATGTCTTCTCACCAGTGGAGTTATTCAATTCTAACCTCTTAACTTTAAGGCCTCAAGCTGAAGCTTAACGTACCTCCAAAACCTGTAGCATGAACCACAGATTTGACTCTAAATATGCAACATACTAAAAATGTGTAGCAACAGATGTCAGAATGTTAAAAACAAAAAGCACTACGATTATAGATATCTTTTACTTTATAATAAAATATTTTGTTTAGAGTAACTATCAAGTGTCAAACAGCCCAATTTTGCTACAAGAATTTGTGGAACTTGATGTCAAAGGATATAACATACAAATACACAGGGGAGCAAAAATAAATTGTTAGCTTCCTTTACAAGCTACATTTTCATCGGACAAGAACACCCCCTGTCCTGTGATCGTATCCTTTGTAGCCAAACGTGTCGAACTGCCTTGGGGTAAAAAATCTTATACTTGAGTAGTTTTGAAACCAAAGCAGTTAGCTATCTTCCAAGGGGCTGTCTCACAGATATGCTCTACCACAAACAGCGTGGTATTCCGAGGGGCACCACAGTACTTCCACTTCAGAAACTCATTCAGAATTCAGCACACTTTAAAATGTAAAGCCATTTATTAGTGATGATGGAAGTATCATTCATCCATGACTTAAGAGAAAGAACTTCACAAGACAAACCCACTTCATCTGGTGGAAAACATGTTTAAAAACAACGTTCACACTGAGAATTTTTAATGTGATGATGACATTTTGGTAACATATAAAAACACATTTATTAGAGATGCATATTGAAATATGCAGCAGTAAAATGATAGACCTGGGATTGGCTTTAGAACACGTTAGCCAGGGATAAAAGTGACAGTTAAAAGAATTCATAAAAATGAATTCAACGTTGGGTAAGCACTACATCTTGGTAGTGATCACATGAAATGTCACTGTCACACACTGGATGGTGAGTAACTTGTTCTAAGAGTATTCTCCAAGGTAAGCAAACATTTAGGAAGAAATCTTAACCCAATAAAGGAACAATATCTTGCAATATGAGTAGTATGTTATAGCAAATGTGACCTGATCACATCTGGTTCTTCTGTTCCTCACTGCTTTGATATACAAGTGCTCTGGATTACAAGAGGAACAAATTATTCTCACACACCAAAGTTTTACTGTGTAATGGTACTTTGGCATAGTTGGAGTTCTCATAATTAAAATGTATATCCTAGCTTAAAATATGGCCAAGAAATTACTTTTGGAAGTTTATGGCACATGTAAAATATATTGAGAAAACAAAAACTGCAGGGGACTTACTTTCATCCACCCACTTCCAAGCATCCCCTGTGAAAATGCTTTCAAAAGGTGCGCGGGTTAACATGCAGAAGAGGAAGGCCGGCTTGCTAGGATGAGGAAGTTAACAGAAAGAAACATCAACTAATGAGCAACCTGCTGATTTAATGAGAAACTCAACCAGGATACCTTTCTGTTAACCCAAGATTACATGGAAAAGGACATTAAAAAGAAACCTGATCGGGCTGGGGAGATGGCTCAGTGGAATAAGCGCTTCCCTGGCAAGCACAAGGGCCTGAGTTCAATCCTCAGTTCCGAAAAAAAAAAAAAAAAAAAAAGAAACCTGATTATTATCAGAGTAATTCAAGAAAAGCTTCATCCTTCTTACGTAATGGAGCTGAGAGAGAGAGATAAAAAAAAGGTTTATTGAAATACACAGCTAAGTTCTGTGTCTGTCTTGTTTCAGCATTTCCCTCGCTGTCTCTAAACAAAGCCAAACAAGGAACATGAAGCGGGGCGGTGAAGTGACGCAGAGACCGCCACGGCCAAGGCGCACACCACGTCCTCCTGAGGGCTGCTGCAGCCCGCCAGGCAGATTTTCCTTGCTCCGTAAGATAAACAAAATCAGAAGGAGTTACACATGTTGAAAAGTAAGTTTACAATAAAACTTTCAGTAAAGATACGAATGTTAAGACCAGTATGTTGGAATATAAGATACGAAGAAGATTTTATAAGAAACCTCATCCAGTGCTATCTTTGTATCCCGTTTTATTAGCCTGAGAGTCTCACCAAACCACTTTTTTTCTCCTGCTTAGAAAAGTAAAGGATGCTGCAAGGATAGAGCTCAACCCAGGGTGAGGACATGGAGAATGCGCGTTCTTTTCTCCCATTCTGAGGCACAGCAGAAGAAAGGCAGGTGGGCAGGGGAGGGGAAGGGGGCTCCCACAGGCTCCTAAGCCAGAGGGGGGAGAGAGGGAGTGAGCTTTCTAAAGACATGACTTCCTCCCTTTGAGTAAATAGGGATAAGGAACTATCAAAGTCATTCAAAAGACTCAGTTGAAAGCTCACCAATGGCATCCTACTTCACAGCTGACTAGAGATATGTCTACCAGGCTCCCACAGTATCTTCATAGCCAAGATGTTCTCCCTGATGTCCAGCAAATCCCTAGGGCCGTAATCTAAGCCTATTTCCGATGCCCTGGCTCTCAACGACACAGCCAGTAATCAGGCTGTCAGACGAGGAGCTATAGCAAAGCAGCACTCTCCCTTCACAGAGGTCCAGAAAGTCGGAGGGCGTCATAGAATCGCCAAAGTCACGCATCCCATAGTTGAGGCAAGCTAAAGTGCAACCTACTAAAGGCAATGTCTCAAAGTGCCAGCCCAGGTGCTGTCTGGTTGCAGTAGATCATTATCTTGATTCATTTTCTTAAGACCCAATAAACAGAATAACCATGACTCTAGGATCGGGAAAAGGCTGAAGGACACAAGCATCTGACCCCGTATTTTGGGAAGTGAGCGGAGAATGGAAGCTGAAAGTGAACATCAAACCATGGAAGAGAGCACTGAAAAGAAAGAAGTAGAAAAGAAGAAACGCTCCAGAGTTAAGCGGGTTCTTGCTGATATCGCCAAGCAAGTGGACTTCTGGTTTGGGGATGCAAATCTTCACAAGGACAGATTTCCTCAAGAGCAGATAGAAAAATCTAGAGATGGATATACTGACATCTCCCTCCTGGTATCTTTTAACAAAATGAAAAAGTTAACTACTGACGGCAAGTTAATAGCCAGAGCATTGAAAAGCTCAGCTGTTGTTGAGTTGGACTTAGAAGGCACCAAAATCAGAAGAAAAAAGCCTCTGGGTGAAAGACCAAAGGATGAGGATGAGCGTACTGTGTATGTGGAATTACTTCCTAAAAATGTTAATCACAGCTGGATTGAAAGAGTATTTGGGAAATGTGGCAATGTTGTTTATATAAGTATACCACATTATAAATCTACAGGAGATCCAAAAGGATTTGCCTTTGTGGAATTTGAAACGAAAGAACAGGCTGCAAAAGCTATTGAGTTCCTTAACAACCCACCAGAAGAAGCACCAAGAAAACCTGGCATATTTCCTAAAACAGTGAAAAACAAGCCCATTCCCAGCTTAAGAGTGGTTGAGGAAAAAAAAGAAAAAAGGACGAGTGAAGAAAGAAGACAATGTGCAGGGAAAGGAGGAGAGCATGGACACAAGCAATGAGAGTATATGTAAAGTGAAAAGAGGTAGGACCGGCTCCGAGGGCTCTGAAACAGAAAGTGTGGAACCCCAAAAGCAAACCAAGAAAAAGAAAAAGCGAGACAGAACTGAGGTGTCCGGCTTAAGTGACGAGAGATCCGCGAAGAAAAAGAGAAGCAGCTCTGCAGATGCTGAAAGCCTGGCTCCCAAGTCGAAAGTTAGGAAAACAGTTCATAGAGACATTAAAAAAGAGGCTTCTGAAGTTCCGAAAGAGAACAGAGATTTAGAATTCTCCACAGAAGAGGAAAATATTGGAGAAATCAAAGAAGGTTCTCTATTAAAAACCAAGCGGAAGCACAAGAAAAAACATAAAGAAAGACATAAAATGGGAGAAGAAGTCATACCTTTGCAGGTCCTGTCCAAGAATGAATGGATGGATCTAAAAAAGGAGTATTTGGCACTGCAAAAAGTCAGCATGGCTTCTTTAAAAAAGACAATATCCCAAATAAAATCAGAATCAGAAATGGAAACAGACGGCACAGTGTCTAGTAGGGCTGCAGTGAAGAATGAAGAAGCCAGTGGTCCAGAGCGTCACCCTCAGGAGAAGGTGAGCCCGCCCGGGCCACAGCTCCTGAGTGGAGTCATCGTGAAGATCAGTAGTTCAGAACCTCTGCCTGGCCGGAAGCAAGTCCGGGATACGCTGGCGGCAATCTCAGAAGTTGTATATGTTGACCTGCTAGAAGGTGACACAGAATGTCATGCTAGATTTAAAACTCCAGAGGCAGCCCAGGCACTAATAAATGTCCACACTGAGATTAAAAAGAAGTACAACTGGAAACTCGAGGTCCTTTCTGGTGATCATGAGCAGAGATACTGGCAGAAGATTCTGGTAGACAGACAAGCCAAGCTCAACCAGCCGCGGGAGAAGAAAAGAGGCACGGAGAAGTTAATCACAAAAGCTGAAAAGATTAGACTGGAAAAGACTCAACAAGCAAGTAAACACATTCGCTTTTCCGAATACGACTGAAGAGTGGGGCTCACCAATGTTTCATTGTGTCCTGGACATCGTTTGACTACAGCAGCACCATAAAGAATGTTTTATAAGATCTACACTTAAAAAAAAAAAAAGATCTACACTTAATGAAAGGAAATACTTTAGCTCCTCAGCTTGTAATTAAGACTTTTTTTTTAGAGATTAGTCCATTGTATACCAGTTTTTCATTAAACACTTTATTTGTTGAAATTATATGTCAACATCAAGTTTGTTTTTTTTCAAATGACTTTTTACATGCATTTTGAATATAATTGCTGATTTTGGTTTTATTTACAAAAGCAGTACATCATTGAAGAAATTAAATACTTGATGTAACAAAAAAAAAAAAAAGACCCAATAAATAGTCACCTTCTGTATCCTTGAGGGTCCATTTCCAGAAGCCCTTCTCGTATTTGCCAAAATTCACAGATTCCCCAGTTCCTTATACAAAGTGGTACATTATCTGCATGTAACCTATGGACATCCTCTCGTATACTTATTTCTAGTTTACTTACATCACCTAATACAGAATGCAAATTCTATGTAAATAGTTATTTTCTAAGTATAGTGCAACAAGATGTGTTTGCATGTGTTCACTGCAGGCACAATTTTAATGCTTAACCCAGGTACTTGCAGTTAGTGTCTTAAGTTTTAAATGGGAACATAGCAAAACACAAGGGAGGACCCCTTAGTATCTCCTAATTTCCTTGTTATGAGCTTTCCAGTGGATAGCTGAATTATGATGCATGCTATAAATGAAAATATCACACTATAAAAATGCTAGCACTCTGTTTAATGAGAAAACATTCTTTGACTGTGGTTAAGGATAAAACAACTACACAGTAAAGTCACTTCTGGAACTGGTAACTGTAGTGATAACTATTTACATATGCATAGAAAAGAGCAGGAAAAATACACTACAAACCCCTGTTGGCCATCACATTGGAGGGATGAGATTATAGAAAAGCTTCAGTGTTAAACCTTACCTCACTATGATATAAAACATGCAAGGAGAAAATACTGCATGTTTATTCAATAAGTTTTAAGAAGAGATATTTTTCCAACAAAGTTCCCCTCATTCTTAATCCCCTACTGAGTAGGAAGTACAAACTAGGGACCCAAGTTCTGTCCTCTGGTCTTTTCTTAAATATCAAGTAATCTTTCAGTGTGTTTTTTCCAAACCTAAGAGTCTCCATTAACTTCGTTGGAGAAGTGATCCATGATGGTAGGAAAATGATGATTCCCCCTTCTTGTACTTTCCTGGGAAAATAAAATTGCTTTGCCTCATCATGAAGACAGTTTCCTTTGGGATCCAAGCCTTTCAACTTCAGAGTCCTAAGAGGTATGTGTGAAGGCTCGATGTGTTCATTAACTGTAGTCCTGGTGCCTGAGCTTTATAAAACAACACAGATATCACCTCACAGTCTGCCAATGTCAAATGTGAGGGCCAAATGTGACAGCAATCCTACAACAAAGTCAAGCTGCATCTGGGCAAAGAGACACATCCTAAACTCATACATATCAAGTTTTAAAGACTGGACACCAACAGATGATTTCACTTTTAAAAAAAAGAAAGAAAAAAAAAAGGCTGATGCAGTGGTGTGCACCTGTAATCCAGCTACTCAGAAGGATGAGGGAAGATTGCTTGAGCCAGGAGTTTGAGATCAGGCTAGGTAAGAGGAAAAAAAGAAAAAGGAAATCAAGGAAAGATTCACTAAAGAGGCAGGGATTGGAGATGCAGCTTAAATAACTAGCTGGATAGCTAAGGCTAGCACACGGGAGCATCCCAATCTGTGCACACAAACCCCCACCTCACCTTGTACAGCACTGACTACCCAGACACACCCTGCAGTGTGCCAAGGCCTCCCACACTTCCTGCCCCAAGATACTAGGGGGCCACTGGAGCCTCCTGGTCTGGGTGCCTTTTTCCACTGACACTAACATTGGATCTATTGGTTATAATCTACATGTGTCCCAAGACCTGAAAATCTGTTCTGCAAGTGCTAGAGGGCTCTGGGAAAATACTCAGAGAAAGATGCAGGGTTGACAGAGATGTCAATTAGATTGTCAGGCATCTATATTAAATCAGACCACTTCATGTCTTGCCAGACTCATATTCAAAGAAATCCCTTTAATAAGGACTTAAAGGGCCCCTCTATAATACAAGGCAACTGCATTTTCATTACTTGCTTATAGTCGTTCGTTCGTGTATTTAGTCAGCATAATCACTATGTTCTAATAAAAAGTACACAGTTATACATATGGAACTATGCACAATGTATAGACATATTTGGGGACTATCTGGTTCTAAGTCATATGGTAAATAGAAGGCTTATGTTAGAACTATCCAAACCACAGAATGCATTGTTTAGGGTTACACAAATTTAGCTCAAGTCCATAAAAACCATTTGGTCTGCTTGAAGTGGGAGTTGAGGAGTTCTGTTAGCAGAAGGGAGAACTACAGTACAAGGATTTGCTTACAGATGGGGCAGGAAACGCATCTTGGTCAGCACATCAATTTCCTATCATACCATGTGGGAAAAGCAGCGTGTTTGATGCTCACAAGGAAAGAATAACACAGCCTGACACTGAAAAGCTTTCATTTATAATATGCTGAACCATGTTTATATCTGGAGAAGGTTCATGTATAGCAGCAGCAACGCAAAAATGTTCTAATGGACTGAAATTTTTTAAAGGTTGTTAAGTTGCTCCAGACAGGAAGCTGACAGCCTATAATACAAAATAAAAACTCATGAAATTTACAGCATGGGCTTTGAAACTGATCATCTTTAAAAACTGAAAGAACTCAAGAGTGATGGAGTAGACTTCAAGCTAAAACTTACCAGAAGAGGCAAAGAAGATCACTACATGTAAGTTAAGAAAACAATTCAATAGGAAGAGACAACAATTGTAAATATATTTACATTGAATACCAGCATGCTCAACTTCATAAAACAAGAACTAGTGAAAATAGAAGATTAAATCAACATGAATAATAGGGCCCTCCATGCCCCTTTCACAAATGGATCAAGTAGACAAAAAAGTCAAATGTTCAAAGGTGTAGCTGTGCTACACCTTTGAACAAATGGATTTAATGGATACATACAGTGCTCTATCCTACCATAGCAGAACACACATTCTTAGCAACACATTTTGAAGATTCTTCAAAATAGACCACATACTAGCCTACAAAGCTTGCTAACATAAATACAACAGAATCAAAATAATCCCATATATATTTTTCAGATCATAGTGCACTAAGACTAGAAATCAATGGCAAAAGAAACTATTGAAATTTAAAAACACCCAGACATTAAATACATTTCTAAACAATGAGTCATAGTAATTAAATACCACCTAGAATAAACAATGCAGAACAATATATCAGAATTTACAGGACAGAATGAAAATGGTCCTAAGAGGAAAGTCTATGCTGTAAATGGTCATATTAGAAAAGCAGAATGAACCCAAATAAGCTAAGGATGTACCTCAAAGTCTTAGAGAAAAAAAATAATAACTCCAAATGCAGTACAAAGAAGAAAATTATAAACATCAATTGAAGAGCTGCTTCTTTGGATGAATCAGTACTTCTAAACTTATTCTTGGAAGCTAGCATTACCCAATTCCAAAACCAAACAAGGACTCAAAACAGAAAACTACAAGCCAATCTCATTAATGAACACAGATGCAAAAATCCTTTGACAAAATACTAGCAAACAGAATGCAATGAAGCATTAAGAAGACCATACATCTTGGCTGGTAAACTTCATCCCAGTGACACAAAGATGGCTCAATCTATACAAACAATAAATATAACATATCATCAAAACAGAAACAAGAGCAAAAATCATATGATCTTCTCAATACAGAAAATGCCTGTGGCAAAAATCCAACATCCATTCATGATAAAAACTCTGAAGTAAATAGGTATCAAGAGTACCTTAATCCAATAAAAGCAATTTATGACAAAACTACGGCCAATACCACATTAAACATAGGGAAACTGAAAGTATTTTCTCTAAAATCCGGAGTAAGACAAGGATGTCCACTCTTTGTATCATCAGTCCTCTTCAAAGTAATACTAGATCTTTCAACCAGAATTACCGTACAAGAGAAAAAAATGAAAGGGATGTATAGGAAAAGAAGTGGTGCTATTTCTATTCACAGATGACATAATCTTTTACAAGACCTTAAAAAGTTTCATTAACTCCTAGTACTGAGTCACCAATATAGCAAGATATAAAATTAATAAGCAAAAATTAATAGCATTGCTGTGCATCAATCATGATCCCACCAAGAAAGAAATTAGGAAATAGCACCCTGCACAGTAATCTCAAGAAAGATTAAATACTTAGAATTTAACCTAACTTAAGAAGTAAAAGACTTCTATAAAGAAACTACAGTACAGTATTTTGAAAAAGGAGATTGACGACATAAGAAAATGGAAAGATACCCCCAGTTCCAGCATATGCAGAACCAGAATGGCCACACTTCCAAAACTGAAATATAGATTTCTTTAATGTATTTAGTACAGGATCTACGGGTTTCACTACACAGATCAGACTCGTAGTGATCCTCCTGTTTTCAGCCTCCCGAGCAGTGGGATTACAGGCACGTACCACCACACCCACTCTCAATCGCAATCTCAGCGCACCCCAGGGGTGGGTCTAGCGTGGCACACCATAGGAATCTGGTCCCAACAGCTGAACTATCTTGCTGGCCCTTGAAATATAGATCTTATTTAATCCCAATCAAAATTCTAATACATTCCTCACAAAACTAGAGAAAATAATCCTAAAATTAATATGGGACCAAAAGAGGCCTATAATAGTAAAAGCAGCCAGGGGCAACAAGAGCAAAGCAAGAGGCATCAAAATCCCAGACTTCAAGTTACATTACAAGCTACTGTGATAAAAAACAGCATGGTACTGGCACAAAAAACAGACAATAGATCACTGGACCAGAACACAGGATGCAGAAACAACTCCAGATATATCTAATCACCTGAACTTAGGCAAAGGATCACCCAGAAACATG